TGCGGGGACCTACCCAGCAGTGCCCCAGCTGTTCTGTCCCAGGAGTCCAGATTCAGCCGCTGTTGAAACTGATCAGCAGCTGATTCCAGGAAGCCGGGGGCAGAGCAACTCTGTCTAGGGCTTCCTGTAGTCAGCAGCTGATCAGTTTCAGCAGCTGCTGAATCTGGAGCCAGTTCCGACTTACATACAAATTCAACTTAAGAACAAACCTACAGTCCCTATCTTGTACGTAACCCGGGGACTGCCTGTATATGGTTGTGACTTTGGTATATATGGTTGTGACTATTTTCTTCCACTGTTTGATCTGAGGAAGTGGGTCTGGCCCACGAAAGCTCCTCATCTAATAAACCATCTTGTTAGTCTTTAAAGTGCTACATTGTCCTGTATTTTCCTTAACATTTTACAGCATTCCCCAGTATTAAAGCAGGGAGAATGCTGGGGAACTGCCTCTTCTCTTGGGCTCCGTGTGGCCAGCTGCCTGGCCACTGCTAGCAGGTGACTCAGAAATAAAAAGGTGGCACCCAGTAATCTTCCAGTTGGCTCCATGAGACAGGTTTCTCCCCAGGGGCCGTGCTGTGCACAGCAATACACAAGACTGAAAACCGCCTCTTTAACCACCTCTCTGAGGGCGAGAACTCAGCCAGATGCTCTTCCTTGCAGGGCACCGTCATCTTGCCAAATATTTGTTCTGTCTTGGCTGATCCTGAGCAGTGGGAGACGCCTCGTCAGTTCAACCCAGCTCACTTCTTGGACAAGGAGGGAAACTTCATGAGCAGAGATGCTTTCTTACCGTTCTCAGCGGGTAAAGGCACCGGCAGCGGAACCATTTTTCATGGGGCAGGGGTACCTGTGGGGAGAGGGTTGCAGGGAGGGGACAAGGGGGCACCCCATTTAGCAATTACAGTTTTGGTAGGGCCATAGGGAGATGGTGCACCCCCAGGGACCACTACAAGTGGGATGGTCAGACCATGCTGGGTCCTGCCATGAGGGCAGGGGACTGGACTCGATGACCTTTCGAGGTCCCTTCCAGTTCTAGTGCGCTATGATTCTAAGTCACCTATGACAGACAGGTATAGTTAAAGCTTGCTAATACTTTGTCCTTGGGATGGCAAACTCCCCTCAGGATGCTGCGGCGGACTCTTCTCCTGCACAATTGCATTATTTGTCCGCAAATCACAGCCCACAGCATTGCAATGGCAACCCGTACTGCCGCTAGTTGCCACAGCGTGGCCGCTGAGAGACGGGCTTCCCCTCTGTTAACATGCTTTAACATTCAGATATCGACTTTTTAATGGCAACTGCTGGAGAGACTCATAGACTGTAAGGTCAGGAGGGAGAATCGTGCACGTTGCCGGCCACAGCCCCTCCCTCACCCACTCCTGTACCAGGATGGTTCTGGGCGCCGCCACGGGCCCTGCACTTTTGGGGGTCCTGTGGCAGCTGCCCAAACTGTCTTATGGATGGGAGGGACCTAGGGGTATATGGGGACTTCACATGGGGCAACAGTAGGGGTGATCCTCCCCACACTCACCGTGTGGGTGGCGGGATCCAGAGCAGCCTGGCAGCCTCCCGGTCTGCTGCACTCAGCTTCTCTGTGGCAGGAGCAGGGACGGGGCAGGGCCTGTGGTGGGGGGGGTTGTCCTGGGCCCCATGCCTGGGGCACTGGAGGGGGAGTTGCCCTGGGTCTCGTGCTTCCCTCAGGACAGCCCTGCCTGTAACAGACCCTCAGTCTCAGGCTGAGCTAGGGAAGTCCTCACGTCATGGTTTAAAGAGGTCAAGTTACAGAAAATTCACATTGACATTAGTTTAAATTTGTACGTGACCCTTGCTGCAGAGGAGGATGAAACCCCCCCCGAGTCTCTGCCAATCTGACCCAGGGCAGAATTCCTTCCAGACCCCAAATATAGTGATCAGTTGGATGCTTTGACTTCACAGGTAAAATGTGATTTTGCTCTTTAAACAGTTCTCATTTTTCCTTCCTCCCTAAGGACTAGAATCCGGCCACACCTGAAATTTCTCAGTCTCACATTTGAGAGTTACACAGGCAATAGAAAGGAAACAGGTTTTTTTTAATTCACTAACTGCCTGTCCCCTCTCCCCCGGCAGGGCACCGTGTGTGTTTGGGGGAGCGCCTGGCACGGACTGAGCTCTTCATCTTCTTCACCAACCTGCTACGGGCCTTCACGTTCAGCCTGCCGGAGGGAGTGACTGAAATTAACACAGAGCGGATTTTGGGTGGCCTATTGCAGCCTCACCACTATAAGATCTGTGCTATTCCTCGCTAGGTGGCAGGAAAGCCGATAGCCGGGGTGTCTCTTGTAGTGAATAAACAAACGACAAAACAAAGAGTGCTAGCACCTGGTGTTATTTATGGCTGGCCAGGAAGCTGAGTGCTGGCAGGGAGACTCTAGGGAGTATTTTTTTATATATATATGTAGAAACAAGGGCTGGAAGGGAGCTGCATCAGGTGATGCGCCTGCCCCATGACAATGGGTCTTTCCCACTCCTCCTCCTTGAAAGTCACTGACCCTGGCAGTCCCTTCTGAACCTGATTCTGTGACCCAACCTTTCCAGAAATCCTCATACACATCCCTGAATTCTTCTCCCCCAAACCCAGGGGCTCTGACAGCCTCTGCAGGCCCCTGGACGGGGTGTGTGGGGAGGTGGGCAGCTCTGTGCTTCTGAAAGGGGCAGAGCCTCAGGCAGAAGGGCAGGGACGGCCAGCCCTGAGCGTGGCCTGGAGTGCAGCGTGCCTCCCACAGCCCTTAGTGCTGCCCAGAGTGTACGGAGCAGTGCTCTAGCGCGGTGTGTCTCAGCCAGTGGTACGAGTACCCTTAGGGGGACACGAGAGATGTCTGGGCGGTACGTCAGCACAACTGAAATTTGGAGAAAACTGAATTTTTGTTGTAAGTTTTACAGCGCTTTATTATTTGTGTACTTTTTACACCCCAACATTTCATCGCCCACCTGGCTACGATTAAGTTGTTTAAACAAACGTGTTGCAATGGTAGAAAAAAATTGTGTGTCTGAAAACTGTAGGTACTGGGGGTACTTTTTTATATATATATATATAGACACAGGACTCGACAAAGTATTGTATCTACTCACCTGTGGCGAGTAGATTTCAGCCTGGTGCCCCGTTTGCTGGCGGCGCGCGCATGCTCAATGCGGGGCATGCGCATGTGCAGTGCGGGTCTGGCGAGTGGCTTTTGCTGTGATCGTCGAGCCCTGTGTGTGTGTGTGTGTGTGTGTGTATATATATATATATATATATATTTAAAAAGGGGTACTTTATATAAAAAAAGGGGGAAACTGCTCTAGCACAGTTTAAAAAGCAGCCACTGATTTGAACTGTCTCAGACTTTGGGAGCCCAGCTTGACACACTTAAGGGAGCAGCAAGGCTTGCAGAGGCTCTGTGTCTCTCAGAAGCACCAAGAACCCAAAATGTCAGCAGAAGTCTGGGCATTCAGGGCCGCTTTTCAAAATATGCGACCAAGACAGCACAAGGAGAGCTGGGCAACAGCTGCGGATATAAGGCAGGGCGAGCGGTACGGCTGCCCTGGGCCCTGCGCTTCAATAGGCCCCGTGCACGCGCTACTACCTGTTGGCAAAATTGTGCTGCCCTGGGCCCCGTGCTTCAATAGGTCCTGTGCTGTGGGCCCTGCAAAACTCTCATCCACCCCTGCTGGGCAAAATCATTCCCATTACAAAATCTTTTTCCATTGCAAACTGAAGATTTGGGCTGATGAACACAAATTGCAGATCTGGGTCTAGAACAGCTCATTGTTTTTTGTCAGAATTAAAAAAAAATCTGGAGGTCAAAAGAGTTTGTTCAGCATTTAAAAAAAAATGTGTTGACTTTTTGTTTTGGAAAGGTGTTTTGCTTTGGCAATTCCCTCCATTTTATTTTATTTTTTTTAATTTAAAATAGGCCTGAAAATTGAAATAAAAAAAAATTCATTTTGGTCGATGTGAAACAAAACTTTTTTTAGACATTGCAGCTTGTCAAAAATTCCACATTTTCATTTCAGCTTACCCTGAAACAAAATTCTGTTCCTGATTATTTTTCCTCCCAGATCTGCCACCAAACCAAACCAAATTAGTGTTTCACACAACCCTAATTTCATCAGAGCTACCCCAAACCCAGGGCTGCTCTTAAAAGGCTTCTCAGAGAGACTGCTTCTCAGAGAGACAAGGTGGGTAAGGTAAAATATATGATTGGACCAATTTCTGCTGGTGAATGGAACATCTCTGAACTGCACATTACTCCAGATAGGCAGTTATAATAGTCAGTGTAATTGCAAGCCAATGTCGCCATCTAATGGCCATGGTTGTTCATTAAAAATAAGATTTAAAAAAATATATTTTCTTGACTCATTAGATTACACACCCATTAAATAAAATGGAATTTGGAAAGAAAAACAAAGATAATCTTTATTATCTAGCAGAGTTCATCTGGCTGTTGGATAATTCAAGTGAAGAGGTTGAGAAAATCATGCTTAAGTGTTTCTGGCCTGAGTTGTAATAGAGATGTAGCCGTGTTAGTCTGATCTTGCTGAAACAAGAGAAAGAACTATGCAGCACTTTAAGACTAACAAGATGGTGTTTTAGGTGCCCACAAAAGCTCATCACCTAATAAACCATCTTGTTAGTCTTTAAAGTGCTGCATAGTCCTGTCTTTTGTTCTGGCCTGAGTTGTTATGCTAGCAAACATTGTAACCATATAGAAGCCTGACGTGGGGCCAGTGTCAGCCTGAAGGCAGCAGGCATTTGCTCCCCAGGAGCAGAAATTTAAGCCCCTCAATAAGTGATCTGATATTTTCTGGTGTTGAACCCAACTTCCAAGAAGGGCTTCCAGGGCTGAGAGGGGGAAGAGAGATTAGAAGTGAACAGGCATGTAGGGCAGCACCATGTGGTTGGAGTGCCTGCTTCAGGTCTTTGAACATTTAGGTCTGTCTTTTTCAATGCCAGCCCTCAAGGGCAGGAAGAGAACATGAGCCAGGTGCAGCTACACTAGTCCAACTGCCCAGGGGCCCGTACTGCAGCCAGGTAATATAGGCTGATTTGCATCCTAAAACAGGGAGCCTAATTATAGCTAGAACAAATTAATTGCTTCTCAATCTGGGGAGGACCCCAGGGCCTGAAAAGAGAACAGATGCCGGTCGGAGAGGACAGAAGTGAAAGTCAAAGATTCAAAATAAGGGAAGCAAACAGGGATCCTGAGCAGAGAACCCTGGAGAGCACCCACTGCTGCGCGAAGGAGTCAGGAGAGACCACCTGCATAGCAGTAAGGAACAGCGATGCATGCCCCAGTAGCAAAGAACCTCTGAGCTGCACTTCCTGCTCCTGGTTTGGTAAATGGGTATTTTAGCCAACCCAAGAAGGGCTCCCTGCAGCCCCACAGATGGGGTGGGCATAGCTGAAGAAATGCGGGGGAAATAGGGTTGCCAGGTGTCCGGTATTTTCACCTCCTATCTGGTAAAAAAAAAAGTCAGAAAATACCGGACACCTAAAAATGTCTGGTATTTTCTGTTTTTTCCCCCTGCCAGGAGGCAAAAATACCAGACACCTGACAACCCTACGACACACTTGGCAACTGGGCCCAGTTTTTTTGGTGGGGAGAGGGGGGGATTCGGTATTTTTGGTTAAACCATCTGGCAACCCTAGGGGGAAAGTGAGACCACAACCTCAGCAGGAGCCTAGAGAGAGGCTCCAACTCATCACCCTCCAGGCATACGTGTTCCAGGGTCGCCCTGGAACTGCAGAATGGCCAGGTGTTGGGGCTATGGTGAACCAGGCCCATAACCCTGGCTCCGCGAAGCCCCAGCTACCCCTGGAGCAAACATGAAACACAGTGGTCTGTCAGGGACCCTTCACCCTCTACAGATGGTAAATGTCCTGCCACTTTGTATCAGGGCCAGACACAAGGGTGTGGAAGTAGATTAAGGTGTTTGTTAGCATTCTACTGACAAGTCCTGCCCACAGGGTTGTGGGAGACACGGGCAGCCAGTGTTGTGTGAGAGAGGTACTAGGGGACACATACAGGCAGGGTTGCCAACACTCTAGGATTGTCCTGGCATCTCTAGGAATTAGTGATTAACCTTTAAAAACAACTTTTAAATATGAGTCGTCCTGTGGCACCTCAGAGACTCACAAAAATATAAAGAGTATCATGAGCGTGTTTGGGCAAAACCCTCTTCTTCAAGACCATTTCATCTGATGAAATGGGTTGTGTGCACGAAAGCTCATGATAGATATCTATTTTGGTTAGTCGCTCAGGTGCCTCAGGACCACTCGCTGTTTTTAAAATGACAGACTAACCTGCCTGCCCCTCGGAGACTGATTAATCTTAACACGATGCTATTCGAGGAAACCTACAGGAATACATCCTACTGGTTGGGGGGAGCAGATGCTTGCCATGGGGCCCCCTTGCTGTTTTTAAAATGACAGACTAACCTGCCTGCCCCTCGGAGACTGATTAATCTTAACACGATGCTATTCGAGGAAACCTACAGGAATACATCCTACTGGTTGGGGGGAGCAGATGCTTGCCATGGGCGTTGGTGGGGGATGGAAGATGCTGGCCATGGGGGTGGGG